TTATTATTATTATAAATAAAAACTCTCAAAGAAAACACCTTTATACTTAAGAAAATTGGCATAATACGCATGATTTTACCTATTTTGTCCCATAACTGACATATTTTCTATTGGATTTGGCTCAGCTAAAGTGAAACAGGAAGTGACATCAAAGGGGAACTCTTTAATAAAATTAATTCTCTGGTCTTTATTTATTAAAACAATATCATTTAAACTTTAACTCTTCATCATCTGTGTTTGATAGTGACTCATAATAATCTAAAGAAACATCAGATTCTTCTCTGCAGTCTGTTAGCTGTTGTAACAAAGCTCTGTTTACATGCACACATTCCCCTTTGACATCACTTCCTGTTTCTTCACGCTCAAATATCTCAACAACTGTTCATCTCAGGGGTGTGAAATTTGTTTTGCAACATGTTATCAAYRTTATGTTTTCAAAAATGTATTCATGTTTATTACAAAAATTTAATGTCCCAGGCACTTTAAAATAAGCCTTCTATTCACTCACTGAAACTTTAACAGCAGCTAAAATCTGAAACACATCACAGGTGAACTTTGTTGGGTTTATTTTATTTTACTCTTGGCTCCTAACTGAGGAGCAACACATCCTCTGCAGATGTTTGCCAGTAGATCTCTCTAAATGTTAGAGATAATAACAGGATGTGGTTCTGATTCCCCTTCATGACGACACTATAGTCATGTATTTTTGGCGATGTAGCTGTGGATCCGATTACAGATGTTGATGATGTAAAAYTGACAGACCACCAAAAAAGGAAATGGGAATCTATGCCATCCCCTCCAACACTAAATACTTTATATCCTGGCTCTGGGTGGTTGTAATCTCTGTTCATTTGCRCTAATCTCTCTGTGCACACACAGACCTAACATCCTGTGGGCTCGTCCCGCTGCCTTTATTCCAAAGTATTTGTAAGATTTAGTCAAATAAAGACACTTATGAGGTGCACAAGAAAGTGATCAGCCTGGATCAATATTATTTTCTTTAATGTGGTCACTGACAAAAGAAAGAAGCTCATGGCAGCAACATGGCCTCTTCCATCCTTCCTTCTTTTCCATCCTTTCATTTCCTTACTTCCTTCTTTTCCATCCTTTCATTTCCTTCCTTCCTTCTTTTCCATCCTTCCATTCCCTTACTTCCTTCTTTTCCATCCTTTCATTTCCTTACTTCCTTCTTTTCCATCCTTTCATTTCCTTACTTCCTTCTTTTCCATCCTTTCATTTCCTTACTTCCT